CCTAAAAGTGATGGACAATATCACAAAATACCAGACATATATGTAATAGATAAAAAGAACAAAACTAGTCTATTATTTGATATGACTATTGTGGCTGATCACAATATTAATGGAGAATATTGGAAGAAAAGAAATAAGTATAAAGAATTAAAGAATATGCTAATGAAAATAGAAAAATTAAAAGATGTCAAAATAATTCCAGTAGTAATTTCAATCAATGGATTAATAAATAAAGAAAGTATTAAATTAATTAAAGAATTAAAAATTGACATTGACATCAAGAAAGAAATTAAAAACCTTGTAATTAAAAACATGATAGATGTCATGGAATACTTCGGAGATCACAACCAAACATACTCAGTAGAAATGCTACAAGATGAAGATGAAAAGATGGGATTAGTCTTAAATAGATAAGAAACAATAGAAGCTAATTCTATGAATACTTAATTAATTGACTATTATTTCATTTTAATTATTATCATCATTATATTCATTCTTTTGTTTGTTTCATTCTCCGATTTTATTCATTTCTTTCATTATTATTCTTTCTTTTTCTTGTTCATTATTTATTTCTTTTTTATTTCCTTTATTCTCGTGTTGATGTTTTTATTCAAATTTCAATTCCATTCATTTTATTCTTTTTAATTTTCATCTCTTTTACTCATTAATATTATTTATTACCATTTTTGTTGAATATAATCTCTCTTGTTAATAATTTAAAATATATGGATTTGAATTAAAATGCTTTTCTTATTTCTATTTCCATTTGTTCTATTTCATCTAATGTTCATTCACTATAGAGAAATAATGTCTGTCATTTTTATAATATCAATGACTGTCATTTGTATCATTTATTACTATTATTGTCTCTTGTTCTATTACTAATTATTTCTGTAATTTATTTCTCATTTCCTTTATTTTTCTTTACTTACTTTATTTACTATTTCTGTTCCTAGATATTTATATTATTTATTATTAATTACTTATGTGCTATTTCTTATTTCTTCTGGTATAGTCTCATTTTCAACTTATACTAAACAATAACCTAAAGTATACCAATATTATTAATAATATAAAACATCCTAGACGTTAAATTATTTTGTCATCAACTAAATTATGAATATCTATGTCAGCTATTTAAATATGATCAGATACCAAACAAATAATTTATTTAGCATAGTCAACTAATTGTAATAAAAGCAATATCTTTTTCAACTAATAAACAAGTTACAAAAGAAATAATGAATTTATTAGAACCACTTCTAGAAATATAAACAAATATCAAACATTATACTAAATTAGTTTAATAGAAACAATAAATCATATCCAACTATCACAAAACTTATATGTATTGAATAAAATAGTATGTTTAAATAAAAAATAAAACAATAAGATAATAAAATCCAAAGAAAAGAAAAATAATTCATAAAACAAATAAAACGTTTATTTAATTTATTCTTATTTCTAATATTATTCAATAACTATTATATTTATTTTAATGATTTACTTTTTTGTTTAAACAACAAAACAATAAAAATACTGTATATTACCATTACTATCAATATTGCTTATATTCTTACTTCCATACGTCATAAAATAATAAAAATAATTTCAAACTAAAAATTATACAACTAAGACAAATAGAAATAAAATTTATTATTTTGTTATTTAAAAATAAGAAATATGAATTGAAACGTCGAAAAAAAGAAATAAAAAGAAGATTAGAACTTATTAACATTTACTTATCTTTTTATGACTGATCTTACCATTATTGTCCCAACATACAATGAAGCTGAAAATATTGAACAACTTATTATACAACTTGAAGATACATTGAAAGATATTAATTTCGATATTTTAGTTATGGATGATAATTCTCCAGATAAAACTGGAGAAAAAGTCCAACGACTTAAATCTGAAGGACATAAATGTGATGTTGTTATTCGTACTGAAAATCGTGGGTTGTCTCCAGCTGTTATTGAAGGATTTGGAATTGCTAAAGGAAATGTTGTGTTGGTAATGGATGCAGACCTTCAACACCCAGTTTCTGTTGTACCAAAATTATATGAAGCAATAAAGAATGGTGCTGAAGTAGCTGTTGGATCAAGACATTGTCCAGGAGGTGGAATTGAAAATTGGGCTTTTCATAGAAGAGTAATTTCATGGGGTGCAGCTCTTCTTGCACGACCATTTACATCTGTGTCAGATCCAATGAGTGGTTTCTTTGCAGTTAAATCATCAATACTTAAAAGAAGTAAATTAGAAGCAAAAGGATATAAAATTCTCCTTGAAGTTCTTGTTAAAACAGGAGCAAAGAATGTAGTTGAAGTACCAATTATCTTTACTACTCGTGTACATGGAGAGTCCAAATTAACTGGAGGAGTTATGACTAATTATCTTCTTCATTTATTTTCATTGTTTTGTTATCCAGGAACATGTCCACTTCTTAAGTTTATTGTTGTTGGAGGATTAGGAACTATTATTGATATTCTTATATTCACTCTTCTTGTTAGTATTGGACTTCCTGGTGGATTTGCACAAACCCTTTCATTTATTGCTGCATTGTGTAATAATTTCTTCTTAAATTCACTTTGGACATTCCCACAAAATGTAGATGTAAACGAAAAAAAGAAACAATTCATAAAGTTTGGAGTTGTTTCATGTGTTGCATTTATTATTCGAAGTTTGTTATTTAAACTTGGAAGAATGTATGTTCCAGATGAATTCCCATATATTCAAATGCTTCTCTTTGTTGTCATTGGTACTGTTACAATTATAAACTTCATTGGATCAAAATTGATTGTGTTTGCATAATCAATAAAAAAAAGCAGAAGAAGTTATTTAATTGAAATACTTTAAATTAGAAGAATTAGTTTAATAACTTTTTTTTCATTTTTATCCTTGTAATTTTGATATTTCTTCAATAAACTTTTGATAATACTCGGGAATACGAATAGTACATTTTCCTCCTGAATGAACAATAGTAAATCGTTCAGGATCAGCCTTTTTCATAACAACTTTAGAGATAGTTTCATAACTAATATCATCAAGGAGTGTAATTTTATTGTTATGAATTTCAACAATTAAAATAGAAATTGTAGTTAATACTATGGTTACAGGCTTCCAAATAGTTTGTTTTCCTCCTATATTTAAATAAGAATTATATTTTGATGACTCTTCTATAAGTTCTTTTAAATAGTTATCTTCTTCTTCACTATTATCATCAGTATTTTCTTCAGTATTAATATTATTTTCATCTTTCATATTTTCATTTACTTCTTCATTCTTTGAAGTTAATTGTTCTTTATCCTCAACTTGTGTTGATGGTAGTGTTTGTTTTATTTCTTCATTTGTTGTATTTTGATTTTGAGAAGTTGGTTGTTGATCTTCCTTCTTTGTATTATTTCCATATAAAAATCCGATTAATCCATGTGTTAGTTGTTGTGTTTTTTCTACAGTACTTTGTGTAATAGTTTGTTTTAACTTTTTAGTACCTTCTAATAATCCAAAATTTAATGGCTTTCCTGTAGTACATAAAGGACATGTTTCTGTTTCGTGATTCATCAATTGGAATCCTTTAATATTAGCTAATGCATTTTTGTGATATTTTAAAAAGCCTTCTTGCATGATACTCACTCTCTTAACTCCTCTTTTAGCAAAATCTAAACCAATCATACTTAGCTCACCAATGTCAGGATTCCCATCTACAGTATCATCATCTCCAAATAAAACAACATGAAACGTTGAATTTGGTTGAGTCAGAATAGACAATTCATTTTTGAAAAGGTTTTCAAGATAACTACGATCATCTTGTCTTTTAGTATAATCTAAATTAATTGCAGCTGCAATAGTACCAAGGTCAAAAGATTCTTGTCTTCTACAATCAATAAATAAATAAGGAAATTGTCGATTAAATTTGTCATTAATGATGTCATTAACCAATGGAGTTAAGAATAATGATGATGTTAATGATTTAGAAAAGATTTTTTGATATGATTCACTATTATTCATTATGCCAAGAAGAATACGATTAAATGAAGATGCTGTTGAAAGACGAATTGCTTTAGAATATGCAATAATAGTTTTTATGTCATTTATTTTTAATGGTTGACTAATAACATTTAATACACCTTGGTGATCTTTAGCATCTAAAATCCTTTGTCTTAAATAAATTAAGTAACCAACAACACAATAAATATATAATGTAGTATCAGGGAATGTAATGAATTCATCCCACATTTTTGATATAATATCAATTGAATCACACATATTTATACATAAATTAAATGCAAAGGCATTAGTATATTCAGTAGGTTCTATTCTATTAGTATCAAGATGAATTGAAAGAATAGGGTCATGATATAACAATAATATATGAATCAAATTTTGTAGACCTGTAATAATAGTTGGATAAAGATGTTTATAAAATGGATGAAACTTATATATTATTGACTTTGTTATTCCACATCTCATTTCAATACTTTCTTGTTGAAATATCTTACTAACAACAGCAGCAACATCAACAATACAATTAAAGAAAGGTTGTGTTCCAATTGGATGAATTGCACTAGCAATTTTATTTGTTTCTTCAATTAACATCTCATTATCTTCAACAATCCATTTTGAAACATAATTGTTAGTTGTTTTTTCTTCAACAATTTCTTTCTTTGGCTGAAGGAATAACTACTGTGTAACTTCTTTTTGTTTTTTTTTTAATAATTATATAATAACAAACTTTCCATATTTCTAATCTTAATGTTTCTGGTATTCCAAATTCTCTACATACCTCTCTCAGTAAAACAACATCAATAGAATTAATTGCTTCTTTCATATATTCAATAGCTCGTTCAGGTATTTCCATTATTAATTGAATTTTAAGTTTTATAAGTTTTATTGTTAAATTTAGTAACATAGTATTATATTTTTGATTTTCTCAAAAAAAATGATTTTTTTCTTTTATTTGTTTTATAAAAATATAATGTAATATATAACACAAATAATTAGTCAGAAGATTCTTTCTTAATGTCAACAATTTCAGGCTCATCATTTGGATCAAAGAATTGAATACTTGACTCACTGGACGTAATTGTTATAACTTGTTTTGGTTGGTCTTCATCAACAGAAATTATTTCTGACATTCTTCTTTTATAACATAATGGTGGGGTGTTAGTTCTTTTAACAAAAGATTGACTATCTTCTTCATTAAGATTTAAAGAGTGCAAAAGACTCTCAGTTTCTATTGACATTCTTCTCAACTGAGTTTCGTTAGGAAATTCTTCAGTATTTTCTTGATGTGATTGGTTTACTTGTTTTTTAGTAAATGCAGGTGTCATTACCATTGCATCAATAGGGTCTAAGTCTTGAGGAATATCTAAAATTCTTTTATAATTTGGTTGACTTTCTGTTGGCTCTAAACTCATGCGTTGAGGAGGAATAGCATCAACAATATGAGTATCTCCTTTAAACTCTGAGTTTGTTTTAATACTAAATGTTCTGACAATAACAGCATCAGGCTTATTTTGAAGAATCATTTGACTAGCAAACACATCTTTAGTCGAGTTATTATTAGTTTGAGTTGGGGCAGTAGTTCTAAATTGAGGAATTGAATATTTTTGACTCATATTAAGAGAAGCTTTTCTAGTAGGGATACGAATAAATTTACCACTTGACTTTTTACTTTCAATTATTTGTTTCTCTTTATTTAATTCTTCACTTTTAATTCTACATTTTATAGTTGATTCTTTTTTAATGTCTTGTACTTGTTGAGGTTCATGTCTAATGATTGGGAATTGACTAAATTGAGTAAAAAAATCCTGTAAATCTTGCTCCCAGTTTTTGTCTGCAACTACAAGTGATTTTTTCATCCATCCAGATAACATTTCTTTCACTGAATTTGTTGAATATCGTTTATCAAATAATAAAAATGCTCCATAATCATTAATATGTCTAATTACTCTACCTACAGCTTGATTAACTGCTCTTAGTGCTTGAATTGAATACCATTCACTTCCACTAAGACAATCAGGATTTTTAAGGTTTTCATGACTATTATATTCTCTCTTTAAATTAACATTAATATCTCCTAATGATGGATAAGGAATACCAACAACAATAACAAGCCTTGCCATATCATCTCCAAAATCAATTCCTTCACTTAATTTTCCTCTAAACACACCTAAAAATACAGCACCTTTTTTTGATTGTATTTGGTACTCTTTGAAATCCTTTTTAAATTCACTTTTATCTTTTGACTCAATAAAAATTGCTTTAAGTTTATTTAGTTGTGTATATATTCCATGTTGTTTCCATAATTCTACTATTCGATTTAACATATTATAACTAGAAAAAAAAACTAATGCACCCCCAGGGCTTTTACTTAAAACTCTGAACATTGTATCTCCAGCTTGTTCTATCATTTCATTGTCTTGACTCGTTTTTTTAGTAAAAATAAATGACTTTCCAAGTGAACTTGAAATAATTATTCTTCCAAACACACGACTTGGAGGTACAACGTGTTCGGTTGAAAGCATCCGATAACCAGGAGAAATAATGAAGTCTTTGTATACATGCTCTTTTATGTCTAATTCTTGTGCCATAGCTTTCATTGGGCTTAATGTTCCTGAAGCAAAGATAACTGATCTAACCACTATTTGTAACAATGACATTGGCAAAGATGGAGAAAGACATCTAAACAACATTTCTCTTAAACCATTATAGTCAGTTATAACAATTTTAAAGAATTTAGTCAATGTAGGTGTTCTAAATACTTGGATATAAAAAAGAATCATTTCTATGTATTGAGTAGTAAAAGAATTAATATATCTTATTACATGAGGCTCTCGTGTAAAAATATCTAAATCATCTAAGTTATCTACTACTTTGATATACTCAGAAATTGCTTCTAGTAGTCTTGATGAAGATGGTGATCGTTCAACAAAAGGTAAAAATGCTTGGTCTTCAAATACCCCATACAGATAATGTTCTGAATCTTTATATGGCAACGATCTATTTTTCATCCAAATAGAAAAACTTTCTACGGTGGAAATAAGTTCTGTGAGAAGAGAAATTGTAAGAAGATTTTCTGGAGTTTGTTTGATTCTCTTTTTATGAAATTGAATTGTTTCAATAGTTTGATTTAATAACGATTCAGTAAAGTTAAATGTTAATGAATCCATAAATGCATCTTCTACATTATGTGCTTCATCCATAACTAAAACAAACTCACGTTGATGAGCACTATTCTGATCAATAAGAAAAATATCAGATGAATGACGAATACTAACACTAGTAACAAAATTATATGGACATAATATTAGCTTACTTCTTACTGTTGCCCATCTTGCATAATAATAAGGGCATAAGTTATGCTTCTGACATACTTTGACAAGTTCTTCTTGTGGTATAATAATTCCATTTAATTCTTTATAAACTGCTTGACATGCCATAACAACATGAGGTAATATTTTTCCATCATCTCCAAATGGCCTATAAGGACATGGGTTAATATGTTTTAATTTTAATAATAGATTCGGTTTTGCTGTGCACCAATAATTCTTATCATCACATGTTTTAATTGGATTATAAATACAGTACAAGTCTCTAGAAGCTAATACTATTCCTTTTATATTTCCAATTTTCTTTGTTTCATTCACAACTTGAGCTAATTGATTATGGGTTCTTGAAGCATAAACAACTCTCATATCTGGAAAAGTTAATGTTGAATGCAATAATACTAATGTTTTTCCTGTTCCTGTTGGACTTTCCATTAATAAATGTTTTCCTTCTTTTACTGCTTGTTGGATTGAATTCATCATTTCTATTTGAGGCTGATATGGTTGATATGGAAAACTTTGTGCCAATGATGGTAATGTTTTATCATAAACAAGATGTTCAACACTTTTACTGGTGATAGTATGAAGTACTTCGTTTAACTCTTTAATCAAAGGTAACTGAGTTGCTTGTTTTTCATCAGCAAAAGTGTCAAGACTTTTTCTTGGATCAACTTTAGTACTTGTTAAAGCGGGTTGGTATGATGAGGTAATTGTATTAAATATATCTTCTTCATTGATTGGTTTTTTTGTGTCATCATTATCATTATTCATTCAAATAAGAGTTTCAATTATTGAGGTTTTTATTATTTCATTTCATTTTTCTTTTTTTTTCTTAAATAATTAAAATATTCTTAATTTAAAAATATCATTTATTTTTATTATTTTATGTTATTCAAAACAAAATAATCTAAAAAAGAAAAATTAAAATTAAAAACTTCAAAGAAAGAGAAAGAGATGGAAGTAGAAAACACCACAAAACCAGAAGTTAATGAAGAAGATGAAACAAAGTTATCCATTGGAACTAAAATTGACAAACTATTTGTTGAATTAGAAAAAGCATTCAATGAACAAAATAAAGAAGAAACAGAACGTTTACTTCAAGAAACTAATATACTTATTGAAAAAGGTGGAGATTGGGATAGAAGAAATAGAAGAAGAGTTTATGAAGGATTATATCTTGTTACATTTAATCGAGATTATGCAAAAGCCTCAGAACTATTAGTAGGATCAATTGGTACATTTGCAGTTAATACATTAATGACATTTGAAAGGTTTGTGTTTATTGCAGGTGTTACTGGAATTTTAATTTTTGAAAGAGGCAGAATGAAAAAAGAAATTTTAGATAATTCAGATGTTATTGGAGCATCAGGAGAATTTAAATGTTTACTTAACATGGGAAATGCTTTATATAAAAGTGATTATACTACATTTATTAAAGAATTAAAAGAAGTTGTTGTCCTAATGATGCAAGACAATATTCTAAAAAAGTCTGTTGATTGGTTTTGTAAAGAAATGAGAATTAAAGCATACAAACAAATCATGAGATCATATTTAGCCGTTCGTTTAGATGTTTTTGCTAAAGAATTTGGAGTTACTACTGACTTTATTGAAGAAGAACTTGAGACATTCATTTCACAAGGACGTCTTGCTGCTCAAATAGACAAAGTAAATGGTATCGTGATGAATGCACATAAAGACAAACGAAATGAACTTTATGTGAATTTAGTCAAAGAGGGAGATATTGTTGTTGAGAAATTACAACGATTAGAGCGGAAATTAGAATAATACAATTTATGGTTTTTTGAATTTTGTTATTTTTTCTTTTAGAACTTTAAAAACATCATTCTCACAATGATGGAAACAAAAGAAATTAAACAAGACATTAACAGTTATGAAGAATCACACCTTTTGGATACAGAAAACTTATCTTCTTTTCAAAGTGATAACCAAAAAGAAAATATTATGTTTACTGAGAATCCTAGTAATGAAATAATAATTCTAAAAAACAGAATCAACGAGTTGTTATATCAGAATGAAGAGCTTCTTATCAAACTTAGAACTATGGAACATTTAATCAATGAAAAAGGACAATCCCAGAATTCTAGTTTTATTCAAGTCATTAGAAAAAGATTACTTGAAAAGTGTAAAGAAAGTCATGATCTTGAAGTTGAAAAAAATCATGTGTTTGAAGAGTATGAAAAGATTAGTGATGCTTATGTTGTATTAATGAAACAAGAACAAGAAAACTCTCAAAAAATTAAGTTTTTTCAAGAAGAAACAAAACGTCTAAACGAAGAGTTAATTAGTATGTCTGATGAAAAAAGTCAATTTGAAACAGCAATAAGCCTTAAGGACCAAGAAATATTAAGACTAACCAAATTAATAAATTTAGATCAGAGTAAATTATGTTTGAGCAATCAATTAAAAGAAAAAGATAAAATTATTGTAGAATATCAACAAAGAGAAAAAGCAAGTATTACAAAAGATAACTTAAAAAAGAAAAATATATTAGAACAACAATATGACTCATTTTATAAAATCAATTGTTATTTAAAATCACTTCATATCATAGAACGAATTAATAGAACTATTTCTACACCAAATCAAATTTTTGTTCATCAAAGATTGAAAAAAAACAGTGAAATAGAACTTATTATTTTTTGTTCTAATCCACAAGTAAAGTTTGTACTTATTCATGAAGTTAATAATTTAATTAACAACCAATTCATTTCTGGTGCAATGTTAGTAGATGGGATTTGCTCTATTTATTGTTCAAAAGGAATATATCATATTTGTGGATATTGTGACTCACTTCACAACATCGTTTGTAAAGAAATAACTTTATAAAGAAGAAAAACATCATTAAGTTACATTTTTAATCATTTATATCATTCTGTTTTTGTACTGAATCATAAATATTTAATAGTCTATTAACTACCTCACAATAAGATTTACACTTATATTTTTTTCTAAAGTCTTGTAATTCTTCAAATGCTTCTAATGTAACTCGGACTTTAGGAAATTTCTTTTCATCTTCAATAAATTTTTTGTCTGTTTTTTCTTCAAGACTTACTTTCTTTGGTTTAGTTTCTACAATCCCTTTGTAATTGTCGTCTTTTAATTCTTTTAGCTCTTTACTAAATTTTTTAGGTGTTTCAGTTTGAGGGATATGGTTTAGTTCAGATTCATCAACAACTTCTATGACGAGATTTCCTTTAATAAGGACTTTGACAGGTCGAAAACAATTCATAAAATAAAAATAGTTGTTTAATGAGATTTCGAGTGGTTTCGAGGTAATTTTAAACCCACAAACACTAACAAAAGTTCTATTTTGTAGTTGCCAATTAGAAAATGAGAAAATAAAAAACAAAAATAGAAAATCAAGTCATAAATTACACAATAAAAAATAAAGAAAATTCATACAACGTCTCTATAAATTCTAGGTGTTAAGCATGGAGTATAATGATCATTTAATGCAGTTCTTGGAGGAGAGAAAGTATTTAATCTAACAGAATGTATTGATATTTTAGATGAATTTTTAATAGTCCTCACAGGGTCAGAATGGAGAGGCATTAATGGAGAGTGTTGTTCATCAAAACTAATTGAATGAACTAAAGGTTTTTTGGTTTCCAATGGTTTTAAAGTTTTAAATAATTCAGGTGAATATTTATCAACTAATCCAATGTCAAGGTTATGTATATTAATTGAATATACTATAATAGTTGAATGGTCTAATTTACCTGGTAAACCATCTCGCCTTCTTTTTGTTGGATTATTTTGATGAAATTCACGTACTGTTTGAGTTATTCCAATAGTATAACTACATAATTCTTCAACTAATGAATTTAAATTTGCACTTCGTTTAATTCTTATTCCAAGAATTTCATTAAGTAATTGATCATAAGGTTTTTTCTCTTTAATTATAGTAGGGTCAAAATTATCATACATACCATCAGTAAGTGCAAATATTAAATCACCTTCTTCACACTCACAAACTGCTAATTGACTTCCATTAATAATATCTGTTCCTAATTGATTATTTCCTAAAGCTGCAATACATTCTTTAGTTTCATCAATTGAATGATGACCAGTTCCTACTATTTTTTTTACTTTACACTCTCTTAAAGAGTAATGAAACAGTCTACAATCACCAACAGACAAAACAACAGTTACTTGTTGTTCATCTATTAAAGTAAAAGATAACGCTACAAGAAGGGTTGTTTGTGCGTTATTATTAGGATATGACGAACAGATCTATAAATGAATTTCTTTCAAGTCTTTGAAATATTGAGAGTTTGAATAAAAATAGAACAAACAATTTGATGTGCATTTGCTATTGTTTCTACTAACAAAGAAGCACTCTCTCTTAAAGTGCTGACTGTTGTTATATTTGATATAACAAATTCTAATGAACTTGTTACTGCTAATTTAGCTGCAAATGAAGGTTTATCTCCCCATCCACAACCATCTGCTAAAGCAATGAATGTTGCGTTACTAAATCTAACAATTCCAGCTTTATCACAATTAGGCTCTCCTTGTTTTACTCCATTAATAATTGGGTAAGTAGATATTGAAGCCATTGCAAAGTGTTGATCTCTTGATTTAATTGATAAAGCATCAGTAATAAGATGTTTAGAATATTGTTTGTTATTAATTCTTTTGATTTCTTTTTTAGGGATTGTTTTAATTTCTTTTTGAAATATCTTTTTAAAATTGATAGAGTATGTTTGATGCATTTTCCAACAAAATGTATTTTGAGTTATTTTTTTGTTCTTCTCTATTTTTATCCTTTTTTATTTTGTTTTTTATTTCATCACAAACTATAAAATATCTTTGTTGAAATATAATTACTTTTTATTCTATTGTCATCTCATTAACAACTTGTGATAATGCGTAATAATAGTTGTATGGAAAATGATCACTAAGACTTAATACTTTAATAAAAAGCCAACCAAACTCTTTATTTTCTCGTTCATACAACCAATATTTTTTAATGTCTTGTTCTTTTCTTTTTTGGATATGAAATACTCTTCCTGGTGGTACTAAGACTGATGAGTCAATAGTATTTGTTGATTCATAAAAACGATTGAAAGCTTGTTGGTATTGTTCAGTTGTTTCTTTTGAGTTAAGAGAGATTAAACTGGTATTATTGTAAATTGACCGAAACTCATTGATTAATGGTTGGATATTTTTAATTGAGTCAAAAGAGAGTCTAGGAACAATATCATTTTTTGATACTACTGAATCAATCAATGAACGAACTAATGGTGATGAAGCTATATTCAATGAAAGAACTAATGCAGGTGCTAAACAATAACCATGAACTAACCAATCAGGGTGATTTTTATTAATTTCTAAAGTCAGTAATTGGGCAACTCCACCACCAAGAGAATGACCAGCAATAGTGATTTGAAAAGAGGGGTATTTCAGTCTAAGCATTTTTAGTGTTGGGATGATTTGTTGATATTTATTAAGAGCAGCTTTATAGATTCCAGCATGAGTAAATCCATCGATTCCAGCAAAATTATAAGGTACAGGTTTAGCACATAAATCTACTTTAGCATCATTAAGAGAAAAAGTACCTCTTATGACAACAGAAATAGTTTTTAATGAGTCAATGACAACAATGAAATAGGCAGGGTCAAAGATTTCAGAAGTCCATTGATATTTGACAAATGCAGTTTTATCTAAACCACATAACTTTTGAGCTAATTTCCAATCAACATCTTCTGAAGATGATTGAATAGTAAAAGCACGTTTAAAAATATTATCATCTTTATCTCCTTGAATATATACCCATTTTCCATAAGATAATACACATAATCTCATATAATAAAATAAAGTTGATACAAAATGTACATCAGTTATTTGGGAAATAATACCTCTTTCATTTATATTAATTTTTGATTTACTAATTTGATGAATTGTTAGTAAAATGTCTTTTAATGAAATATTATTTTCTTTTAGATATGTTGGAATAATATCAGAATATTTATTTCCAGGTAATTCAATAAATGCATCTATTGTATTACTAATTGTTTGTATTTCACTCTTTTCTTCTCTTTTTATTTCTAAATCAACTGGTTTAGGATTCATAATATCTTTATAACTAAATATATTGTAGTTATATGTATTTTCTGTGATGTATGTCATTGTCTCAATGAAAATGATTTTTAAAAAGATTAGTTTGTATACTTTTTAGTTTCTACATCAAACGTATTGATTAAAGAATGAATTTCTAAAAAGGATATTATTTTAATCCTTCATTTATACTTTTTCTTTATTTAACATTAGATTTGTTATAGAAATTTTAAGTAAAACAAAGAAACAATTATTTTTAAATCATTGAATTTTGTTTTAAATTGAATTAGTTCATTGTTCATCAACACCTCAAACAACAAAAAGAATAATTGTTGTTGTTTTCTTTATTTGATTTCTTCTTGAGTTTCTTCAGTATTGTTATCATCTTTAGGCCAAACTTTATCAATTAATGGTGTAAAGAATGGGATAGTTCTTAAATATTCCATTGTTGAAGATAATGACATAGACAATAAATATTGAATATAATTCTTTGCAACACCTCCAAGATTTAATTTATATCCAATATAAACGCCACCTCCAATAATTAAAGTTAATATGAATAATAATGGATTAGTTAATATGGCAATAAATTCATCAAATCCAAAGAATACAACTAGGACAATCAAATATAATGGAATTTGATATTTAATTTCACTATTTTCTTTTTCTCTTAATGCTATTAAATATCCTTTTTCAAAGAAACCATTTAATGTTTCAATTAATTCTTTACGTTCTTCATGATTTAAAATAACTTTCTCTTCATCAGCACCTTTAGGTAATGTTTCAATAGATTCACTTGGTAAATCTCCATCTCTATAATTAATTGTAAATTTATATTGATCATCACTCTCTTCAATTCTAAAATAACAATACATATCAAGAATATCTTCTGTTTCATCTCTTGCTGCAAAATAAAGTGTATCAACATCATCTGTAGGTTCCCATTTTCTTGGTAATCCTTTATTATCAAATCTAAACATATTATTAAATTTTCTTTCAAGTAAATATGGTAATTCTATTTTTCTTTTAATAACTAATTCTTTTATACTATTTAAAATATCTGTTTTACTTTTTTTAATTTCTTCTTCAATAGTATCTTTATTCATATTACTACATGTTTTAAATCCTTCTTCTAATTTATTAAATCCATTAGTAAATTGTATATTAATAACATTTCTAATATTTTTCCACATATCTTTTTTACATGCCTCTAAATATGGTGTAATTTTTGGTTTTATTGTACTTTCTAGATAATCTCCAAAATGTTGTTTCATTACTTCTGTCATTTTAGATACTGAATCTTCATATGCAATTCCAATATCTTTACAAACACTATTAAACTTTTCTTTTGTCTTTTCTGCTAAAAATTTGGGGACTGAATCATCAAATTGTTTTCTCCAATCTCGTTCAATAACTGCTTTTGTTCTTGATAACTCTTGACTATATTTTTGATATTTCATTGGATTAAATTCTTTCTTATTATATAATAATGCATATTCATTTCTAATTATTGTAAATTCTCCTTTGACTCGTTTTCCAATAGCTTTCTCCATTAATTCTGCTTGTCTTTCAAATAATGACTCAACTAATCCACATAATTGTTTTTTTAATTGTTCTTCAATCTCTTCTACAATTGTTTCCATATATCTTTCTGTAACTTCTTTATATCTTTCTAACGCTGCATCTATTTGTTTAGTAAATACTTTTTTAAAATCTTCAATAATATTTCCTTTCTTTAATATTTTCATTTCTCCTTTAATACTATCATTAAACTCTTTATATATTTGATTAGAAATTTCTGTACATCTATAACGAGATAACATTTCACGTTGACTTGGTAAATCTAAATCTTTATTATCTTTAATAGTTTCCCAAATTTGTTCACAAAAACAACTTAATCCATCTGCTGGTATTTCTTTATTGTATTGTGGTAAGAAATATGTATCTTTATTCTTTGGATCAAACTTTTTTTTCATTAAATTAACTTCTTCAACAAAATTTTCATAGAAATGTTCATAATGTGGTAATGATGTGAATTGAAAATCAAAAAATCTATTGATTGGTGAATTAATAAATTCTTCTGGTGGAATCACTGTATCCCAAATTCTCATAATATCTTCCATAATATCTCTTTCTATTTGGTCAAAAGGTGTATCTGCTTCTCTATCCCTAATAACAAAAACAATCAACGTTTTAGGTGTTTCTTCTTTGACAAATAATTGAAGATTTAATTCAAACACTGTCTTTAACAATGACATATTTGATGCTTGAAATCTTCCAACATCATGTGACCATAAATTAACCATTAATACACTACATACTGATAAACTAAATAATGATGTTTTTCTTTCAAATGAATAATCATCTTCTCGTGCTGATCCATCTGTACCTTCTAAATCAAATACAACAATATTTGATTCTTTTCCTGATAATGCCATCCATACTCCATGGGTAGTTCTACTTCTTCCCATAACTTCATTTAATATCCTAAATTTTGTATTAAATAAATAATTTAATAATGTAGATTTTCCACTACTTTGAGCACCTAATATACCTACTGCATTATAATCCATTCCTCGTTTTAAGAATTCTGGTTTTGATAAAATATAATTTTTTAATGATGGTCTTTCTCTTGTATCAGTCGATGCAAAATTCCCATCTCCATCAATTATTTGTATCCCACATTCTGGTGTTTCTGTTTTAACAACATTTCTTGGTGAATTTAATGCATTAACATAATGACTAATTGCCTTGTCTCTTGGGGTTTTAGTTGGTAATAATGGTTTACTTGTAAAATGTTTTGTTGGAGAAACTTCGTCCATTCCCTTCAGAACTAATAATTTTCCTTTTTTCCTTTCTTTGTAAAATATTTTTTATTTTTCCTTTTTTCTTCTTAAAAAATTTGGTTTTATATAACAATAAAAAATATTTTAATCAATAACAAAATTTATCATTTCAATCAAATTATGTTATTGGTATAATAAATCAATAACGACATATTCATCAGTATTAACTGTTGGTAATGGTAAGTTAAACTTGATTTGCTCGATATATGGTTTGAGAGCTTCACAATTTTCTGAGAGTTGAATTTCTTTTTGAAGAATAGCAAATAATTGTTTTAATGGAGCAGTGAATTGTTGATCAGTAATTAAGAGAGTGATATGAGCGTCAAAGAAAGCCATTAACCAGTTTAGAATTCGTTGTTGAGAAATTGGAGTATTTGATTCAAATTGTTGAATGAGATATTTTAATATATTCATTACTTCATTTGGATTTAATTGAGATAACATTTTAGGTGCAGTTTGTGCATTAATTTCCCTATCAAACACATGCAAAATAAAAGTATCCTTATTTTTAAATTCTATTTGGTTGAGATTCATTTTAACTGTTATACGGAGAAGTGAAAGAAGAGGTACTTCTGTAACAGTAACGTTATCTCTTTGAATAATGTAGTCAATATAATTTAAATTGTTTTCATGAATTAATAATAATAACAAATCAGTATAATCTCTTATAAGGTCATAAATAATTAATTTAAGAATAATACTCCAATACACGTCAGTTGAACACTTTTTCTCTTGAATTCTTTTATGAACTTCATCCCACAAATTCCATCTTAAATTACCATTCATTTTGATAGCACTCTCAATTCTTTCAATAAAATCTTCATCACTTGGAACATCAAAATTAGGTAATACATCTCCATTTTCCTCATTTAAAACTTCATTTTGATATTCTCCACTTGCACTTCCAACAAAATTATTCACATCACATTCAATAGAAGTTTGTCCATTACTGATATGTTTTAAGCAATCAGATAATGTAGGTTTCATTGGTAAGTCAATAAATTCTAATAGATTATTAGAATATAAAATAATTTTATTGTTAATACCACAACATTGTGAAGTTTTATATGTTTTTAAAGCAGAATTATATTGACTAGAAATGAGCTCTGTTTGTTTAGAACCACTAACCAAAATAAAATCTTCATTTTCGCTTAAATCATAAAAATCTCCGATAAACTCATGGGCAATTGTCAAATCTTCATTTATTAAAATCAATTTTTTATCACAAATCACAAAAATTTTCTTTCTTCCTAACACAACTTGTTTGATTTCACTTTCACTAAAACTTATCTTTTTTATTTCCTTTCCTTCCATTGAATAAACAAATAGTTCAAATTTTGTTGCTAAATAGATATTTGGTGATGAGTATAATAATGCTGTAACTTCTTCTTTTACCTTAAATAATTCAGTATATTCAACAACTTCTTTATTAAAATTGACAGTACCAATCTCATTTTGTTTAGATATCAAACAAGTGTTAATATCGATAACAGCTATTTTAGTAACTGGAGAACCACTTTGATAAACTTTAGCTTTTGAATAATCAAAGGTAGGTTTAGTAAATTGAATAATTGTTTTACTTGATGTTAAAACATATAACGAAAATTCATTTTCTTGAGAAATACTTACTGCTTGAACAATAGTAATTCCAGGTGGAATCATAATAGTTTTAAGGCTTTGAGCAGTATTACTATCCCACAGTGTTACAGTAGTTGAATTGATACTTAAAAAACTATTTTTACCAATGACAAGGATTTGGTTAATATTCCCCACTTCAACACTTTGACTCATTTCTTTCCAATGAACTTTTTTTTTAAGTTTTTTTTCTAAAACTATTTTTTATGATAATAATATTATTGTTCTTTTATCAATTTTAGGTTTTGTAAATACTTATAAATACCAAAAAATAAATATATAAAACACAAATTCATTACCAATTTATTTGTTTGGCTCCTTCAACTTGTGATAGTATTTTACATCCTCTAAAACAACCAACACCATACCTAATTGGAGTAGAATGAAGTGGGGCAGACACTTGGAATAGATTTACACAAGACCAAAATGCTCCATTTCCAACTGAAGTAACTGATGAAGGGAATAAAACTCGTCTAATAGAACAACAACCCCAAAATGCAGCATCACCAATAACCTCTAAATGAGGTGGTAAAGAAAATGAAATAAGAGAAGTGCATTGAGATAATGAATTAACTCCAAGGGAAGACAAAT